TTAAATATTTTTTCTCCTAGATTAACACGAGGTGCCAATGACGTGATGAATTGAATTCACTTGTGGTCATCGACAGACTCAAGCATCCACGTTGATTTGTGATGCCAAGCAACTTAAAAAATTGGCTGCAATTGGTTCTAGCCTGAAAACCATCAACAATGTCATATATTTTGAAGACGATAAGACTGCAATAGATTCGAGCATTTCCACGAATATTGACAGCTGGAGGGTGACGCCTTTCTCGGAAGTTGAAAAACTGGGTAAAAGTAGTCCTATTCAGCCAATACTGCCTATAAAGAAAGATATTGCGGTGATCATGTATACAAGTGGCAGCACAGGAATGCCTAAGGTATGGTGCAACTTGCTTTCAATTTTTCCGTCTGATATGATATTTAACTTTAAGCTGGAATGCAAGAGAAAACATAACCAAATATGTTCGCCATTCCTCACTGGGATAGAGTATCTTTGCTTTTCACTGGCCAGATCTTTTGTGTTATTTAACTGTTACAAGACCTGAATTGAACAATAAAATATAGTTCATCAATCTTGGCTCCACGGGTAAATGCTCGGTGATTAATGCAGTGAATGGAATTGAAATTCCATAAAGATGTATAGATGGAGATGTTTCTGATCACTTTTGCAGGAGCCAGACAATTATCTCATTATTGCTTATTCTAGCAAAACCACCCATCTTTAACCATTGATCGTTAAGGCGTATTCTAGATATCCCTTACACTAGATTTAACTTAAATTCCCCTTGAAAAGCGAGAATACATATATGCCTTTCGAAAGAAGGCTGGAAAAAAGAGAACTCCTTTCTTTCCTAGCTTTTGTTAGGACAACATAACTTATTCTACTTTGTCATAGCGGATTCTATGACAGCATTCTGCCTGTTCAAAGACAAAGTAGTCATGGCACACACTTGGCATTTTCCCTTAGGAAGAGTTCAACCCTAGTCCTGGAAAATGTTTCTTCTTCCAATCCTATCAATTACGCAAAAAAAGCTTCAACCGAGTGAGCAAAAAGAAAATGAGCATTAACTTTTGCCATAATGTAATCTCATAAGCCATATATGCTGGATGTCTATCTCCAATGCAATAATTTTTCCTTGTTCTCTTTTGGCTTTGAGTTTAATCAAGCTTAATTTTTTTAATGCTATCCTCTTCGTTTGTTAAAAAAAGTTTGCTTGAAGTGTTCTCAATTAAGTTCTCTTTTTCTGTTTTAGGGTGTCATGATAACTCATGGCAATATCGTAGCCACTGCAGCTGCAGTTACAACTGTTATTCCAAAACTTGGAAGCAGTGATGTCTATTTGGCATATTTACCTTTAGCTCATGTTTTCGAGTTAGCTGCTGAGGTAATCTTCAGAGTTTATATATCGTTTTTGTTTCTTTGAGTCTTTATCTAGCAATGAAAATTGTTTTAGTTCTAAGCGGTTCTGGTCCTGCAGACTGTTATGTTGACTTCTGGTGTGTCAATTGGTTATGGCTCGGCTCTGACGTTGACAGATACATCTAATAAAATCATGAAAGGGACCCAGGGAGATGCCTCCGCTTTAAAGCCTACTTTAATGGCCGCAGTTCCAGCCATTCTGGATCGTGTTAGGGATGGTGTTATAAAGAAGGTTTGAGCTGGAGCATATTTTAGGTGGAGTATAGGGCCTCAAATGAGGTACTAATCTCTTGTTTATATTTTTCTCAATCTAGGTGGAGGAGAAGGGAGGATCTGCCAAGAAACTTTTCAATATTGCCTTTAAGCGCCGATTGGCCGCTATTGAAGGTAGCTGGTTTGGAGCATGGGGTCTAGAGAAACGATTATGGGAGGTAATTGTTTTTAAAAAGATACGATCAGTCCTCGGAGGAGATATCCGTTTCATGCTTTGCGGTGGTGCTCCTTTGTCAGGAGATACACAAAGATTTATCAACATTTGTATGGGGTAACTTTTCTGCTTTCTAGACATTAGGAAATTGTTCTGAATACAGTTTACTTGTAATATAAGAGCGAATGCTTTCCTTTTTTTCATCACTACTCTCTGGATGGGCTGCTAAAATTTTTATAATCATTTGCTGCAGAGCTCCTATTGGTCAGGGATATGGCTTGACAGAGACATTTGCAGGAGCTGCCTTTTCCGAGTCGGATGATCCTTCTGTTGGTCGTGTTGGTCCACCTCTTCCTTGTTCCTATATAAAGGTATGGTGGGTACTTCTTGGTAAAAAGATTGATAACATCTCACATATGGATAATCTGGGATTGTCCCATTCATAACCAGTCTATAGAATTCTTTTGAGACCATCTGCTACATTCAATCATTTATTAAAAGATCTATGTTCTAACTATTCAACGAAGTTGTTCTGAATAGATACATTTGGTAGAATTTCATGTAGTGGACAAAATGATCTGACTCCAGGGAAATTAGTGTTCATGTAGTTAGAAGAGTAATACCAACAAGGCAATTAATGTCTCCTACATAAGAGAGTTCTGCTTCCTGTTTGAAATCGACGTGTTGTCTAAACTGCATTAGCAAGTGTCTACCATTTCCCTTTTTTAAAGCTTATGACTTTTACTCAACAAAAACCTGACCAGTCTTCTCACCCTTGTGTTATCACATTCTATGAATTAAGGATAATATCATAAATGTTCCCTGAGGTTAGTATGTCCTGTGTTTAACAATACAGCTAATTTCTTGGGAAGAAGGAGGCTACAGAATTGTTGATAAGCCGATGCCTCGGGGAGAAGTAGTTGTTGGTGGGAACAGTGTTACTGCTGGTTACTTCAACAATGATGACAAAACTAATGAGGTGTACAAGGTAGTTCTAAGCTTCTCTTGTGTAAATGGACTGAATTTGTTTTTAGACAAGCCTGTTTATTCCGTTGTTATCTCTGATTCAGGTTGATGAGAGGGGCATGCGCTGGTTCTACACTGGTGATATTGGAAGGTTTCATCCTGATGGATGCCTTGAAATCATTGATAGAAAGAAAGATATTGTGAAACTTCAGCACGGGGAGTATATCTCACTTGGAAAGGTATTTACTTTTTCATTTATATATTTTGGATAGGTCGGTATTCACCATTCTCTTTTTCCCTTCATCACGTCATTTTCCAGAAATATACATTTAATGCTTTGCCTGGTGCTACTATGAACATAATCTGGTTTGATTTAGTGCATCTGACTGTGACTTCCGAGTTCATTTTGGTGGTGGATGTATAATTTTTTATTTTGGATGCTCGCTCAATGCAACTGTGTATTATACAATGGCAGTAGCGGGCATTATAAAAACTTCATATTATATTTACTGGGATTTTCTTTCTGTTATTTTGGCCTCTGATCTGAGTTTGGTATTTCTTGCTTCAAATTTGTCTTACCGAATTTGTTCTCCTCTTTAAGTCTTGATTTCTGGCAATAGTTTGATGAATTAATGTTCATTTCAGGTTGAGGCAGCACTTTTATCAAGCAATTATGTTGATAACATAATGGTCTATGCAGACCCCTTCCACAATTTCTGTGTAGCACTAGTTGTTCCTTCACAAAAGGTGCTTGAGAAATGGGCGCAAGAAAATGGTATCGAGCACAGAGCTTTTTCCGATCTGTGCAACAAAGCTGAAGCAGTCAATGAGGTCCAGCAATCGCTTTCAAAGGTTTGTCTCCTTTTTCATGCCATTTATAATCACGACGATCCTACTGAAAATGAACTTGGCTTGTATATAGGCCTCTGACAGCTCGGTGTTAAGCTTTGTATAGGATAACCTGACGCTATCATAAGACATAAATCCCGGACAACGTAATTGAAGAATGCTATCATTGTCAGTGCGAATAGTGAATAAGTTGTATCGTTTTGCCAATAACAGATTCACTCTACGGAAGCAAAAAATCTCTAATTTCACAGAAATAATTTGTGACTAGTTTTCAACTATAGAGTGCTGAATGTTAGGTAATGTGACTGAAATGCAGGTAGGAAAAGCTGCAAGATTGGACAAGTTTGAGATTCCAGCAAAGATCAAGTTGATACCCGAGCCATGGACACCCGAGTCTGGATTAGTTACTGCAGCTCTCAAATTGAAGCGCGAACCCCTCAAGGCTAAATTCAAGGATGAGCTTCAGAAGTTGTATCAATGAATTTTCATCTAGTGTTGACTGAGTTATCCCCATGTAGCAGGAGAAATATGTAGTTTATTGGCAGTTGAAGAGTAGTAATAATATCTTAGAAAAGCATCAGTTTTCCTAGTGAAGTGCAATCACACATCTTATTTCCTTGTATTAGATTTCAATCAATTATGCTAAGGTCAGTTACCCCTTTATTACATTGATGTTGTTCTCAGTATGCTTGTCCTTCTGAGTATATCTTTTAACTGTCAAAACAACCAATCTGTCCTGGACCTCACCCGTTGCTCACCTTGTGGATCTCAAATTTATACTCGAGAAAGTGGGTTCTCAGATGTATATTTATACTTCCTATTGTACATATATACAGGATTGATGTTAAAACGTATGTTGCTCGGTTTCTCCGAAAATGTCACTGCATGCGTGTCGGATCCTCCAAAAGTAGAATATTTTCAGAGGATCTGACACGGGCGCAGAAGCATTTTGAAGAGTTCACGCAACATAGGACTTAAAACACAGCTATTGTTGGATCCACCACTGGTTACCTTCAATATATAGATGATGCATCATCCATCTTATAGAAGCACCAACACCAGGAGCGGAGCTAGAAGGTTATGCACGAGTTCGGCCAAACTCATAGTTTTAGTTCAAACCACATATTTATAATAAGAAATTCATGACTCAATTACTAACACCTATTGTCAGTATCTAGAATTCATAAACTTCAATTTCTAGCATTTAGAATTCATAAACTTCAAATTCTAGCTCCGCCGCTGACCAACAGATTACAATCCAAGTAATGTGTTGGTTCTAAGATTCTAACATAATCCAAGGAAAATGTTTTACATCCTCTCTAAGCAGTTCCAAAACACTTTTCAAGCTAGCTCAGATTCAAGAAAGTCCACTGAACACATTGCACAACTTTTTCTGATTAAATTTGGCAAATATACATCAACATCTTGTTCCACTCAAAACACAGCAACATTTCGTTTCTTTTCTTTTCAGTTTCATTAACAACTTCCACTGCATACACCATTTCATGCTAGGTGCAGACGTGCAGCAAAACAGACGACTAATTCAGAACAAAAAACTTCCTTTCCATAATCTAGGTTCAAATCTAGGATTAACAAACCAAATTCACTATTACAACAGTGGAATCCATTTGACACTTACAAAAACCACAGATACTTAATAGAAAGGATAAAGCCAAGGATGAGTTGCCTGCCGGTGACTATCTTTGTTCAGTTAGAAATTATCACCGGACAACTGGAGCACGTTGCTGATTCCCATTGCCTTGCATGGTAATAGCCATGTGAGAGGATACACCAAAGGCCCTGTGATCAGGTTGCTGCTGGAAGCTGACGCCATTGTTGACATCTTTCCGGACACTTGAGAAAGCAGAAGTTGAATTTTCGCGCTCAACTGAGTCTTGAGAAGAAATTGCGTTAGTGGGGTAACTATTTGGATCAGATTGATGCACTTTCTTTGAGCTAAGAAAACGTCCTCCGGACCCTCTAACTCTATTCACTGCATGAAGATGCCGTGACTCATGAAGATATGGCTGCATGCAATAAAAGACCAGAAGAACAATAAGTCCAAAATTCAATCTTGAAGTATGATAAAGTAAAAAGTCAAGAGGTTTAGTGTATCCTATTTTTGGACTACACTAGCCTGTACTTGTATTGTAATGGTAGTCATCCTACTTGAGTTGTCTTCTGTGCACATGGTCCTATTTGTCTTCATCTTGTCCTATTTGGTTACTGGTTTTTATAAACCACCTTGTAACAGCTCATATTGTTACATCCTCAAGTCATGGATATGCAAAATAACTAGTGGGCCCCTCCCCCCCCCTCCC